GGGGGGGGGGGGGATCAACAGAAACTATTCCTGAGAAAGATCTGATGGCAAATTTACTAGACAGACTTTAAAACAAATGACTTAAAGATGCTCAAAGAACTAAAGGAAGATGTGGAGGGAGTCAAGAAAACTATGCAGGAACAAAATATAAGTATCAGTAAAGAGATAGGAAAACCTAAAAAAAGACACAACACAGCACAGCCAAAAAGAAATTCTGGAGCTGAAAAATATAGTAACTGAAACAAAAAATTTACTATAGGAATTCAAAAGCAGACTTGAGTAGGCAGAAGAAAGAATCAACAAACCTGTAGATAGGACAATGGAAATTAATGAGTCTGAGGAAGAGAAAAAAAGGTTGAAGAAAAGTGAACAGAGCTTAAGGAACCCGTTGGAGTCCCAGGGGAAAAGAGAGAGAGAAAGGAGCAGAGAGACTATTTAAAGAAATAATGGCTGAAAACATCCCAAACTTGAAAACACGTTAATATAAACATTCCAGAAGCTCATGAATTCCACATAAGACAAATTCAGAGACTCACACTAAGACACGTAATCAAACTTTTAAGAGACAAAGACACACAGATAAACTTGAAGTAGCAAAGGAGAAAACTCATCACATGCAGGGGATCCTCATTAAGATTAGCAGCAGATTTATCATTAGAAACTTAGTGTTATATCTGGCAAAACTGTCCAAGAGTGAGAGAGAAATTAGGGCATTCCCAGACAAACAAAAACTGAGAGACCCTGTTACCATTAGACCTGCCCTGCAAGAAATGTTCAAGGTAGTGAAGTGCCCAGTGACTAGGAGCAGTGGGAGCTTTTAGGCCTACGCTTGAAGGGTCTATATAGAATGAACAATATCCCCTGAGCCCTACTGAGAGCTGGAGTTGAGAGTTGAAAGTCAAAGTATGCAGCCACTCCTAGAGCACTGGCAACTCAGAGGAAGGGCGAGAGCAGAAAGTACCCTAACCTTTGGCTTCTACTCTGATCTCCTGCCAGTGCCTGCAAGTGGCTGAAACCAACATGTAGAGGAAGAAGTAGGGAGTCTAAGTGAGGCAGCCCACAGATGTTGCTTCCTGGGGCTCAGAGTAGACCTGGCGGGTAACGGTAAATAAACAATTATCTGGCCAAACATTTTTTTTTTGCCAATTTGTTCTCACCTGATCCATGTAGATAGTCAGAAAATTGGGAATCTGGGTAAGTACACCTTAGAGTGCTTTATACACATGGAAAGAGTTAGGAAAGATGCTTTTCCTTAAGTTTGGGTTCATGGTTTCTGAAATTCTCAGCCTGGAAGAGGAGGGTAGCCCTTTGGACAGACTTAGGGGAAAGCATGTCACCAGCCTCCTATTTCTGGTTTGCCTGCTGACCAAACAAGATCACATAAAAGACATGGCAGTGATCAACAAGGGGACCTGGAACAAGGATCAGGAGACACTCAATTCTTCCATAAACCAATGAAATAAAAATATTTCATGCTTCCTGAGTGAAGAAGGAAGAACCAGACCCACACTGGCCATGGGAAGTTTAAGATCCTTGTTTATTTGTATTCTGAAGGCCAGCAGCTGAGTTGGGGTTAGACCAGTGAAGCTGAAAGTTAGGTTCTGAGAACCTCTCTGCCTTCCCATGGATGGCAATACTCAAGCGAATGAAAACACGGGGAAGAGCATGGCTGGAGAGAATTGCTGCCCAGGCAAGAAGACAGGCAAGGTTTAACAGCAGCCTGGGGGTACTTCGATATCCCTGTAACTTCTTTACTTCTCTGTGATGGATTCATTAGTTGACACCTTTAGAAGATAAATTCTCGCTTTTTTTTTTTTTTCCTATACAGATGCTTTTGATGATTGCGGTTTCTATGGTTTGCATGCTTCCTGTGACCTACTCAAATAGATGGTTGAGTTCTAGGATTTTACATCTTCAATTTTGGTTAAAAACATGATACCCATGGAAAAAGCGCAGTTATGAAAAAGCATGCCTTCGTAATAAAAAAGAACAAACTATTACTACTGTTTTTGTTGCATGTGACAGAGTAACACAACAGGGCATGTAGTCACAGCAAGAAAGCCCAGAAACTGCAATGATTTTTGAAAAGGAAGCGTCAGGTAACAGAGGTTAGGTGTGAATGTCTCCCTCATCCCCCAAGTTCATCACCATTTCCAAGTGAACCAAGAACAGACAAGAATATTTAATGAAAAATAGAAATAAAAATGTCATCAACTCTGGTACTTTATATCTTTATTAACTTCGAGTGTAGAGGCAGAAGACTGGATGTTTCTATACTTTCAGGCCCAATACACTTTGGGGAAATAGAGGCAAAGTCGGGATCTTTATTTAGTACATTCACTTGCTGAAAAGCCCTCTGAAGTGACTCAGGGGATGCCATTTGAACCCTGTACTAGGAAAATAATCTTGTGTTCTTCGATAGCCCAGATGTTTTAAAATACTCTGTGATTAGACTTAGATCTTAGTTTAGATGCCTCAGAGGTGGCCTGCTCTGGGCAGGAAGCCTTGGCTGGGATGGGTCAGGATGGAGTATACTTACCAGGCAATTTAGATACCACCAGGGCCTGGCAGCAGCGGGCTCGGGCTGTTCTGGGGGATGGGAAGCTAGAACGCACTCTTACCACCACCGCCTGCCCCCCTCCTTCCTGCGCCCAAGGTGTGGTGAGCAAGAGGACGACAGGGTGAGCGCCTGCAGGATGCCGTGGGACATGGCAGTGGGGCCACAGACCCTCCTCTCCCGCCTCTGACATCATCTGCCATTGAGTGTGGCTTCTGAGGCGACCCAGGAAGGGGCACAATATTGTAGCCAACTGCAAACAACCCAAATAGTGCCCTTTATTTGGGTCCAGGTGGCATGAGACGAAACCCACAAAGCTGGATGTGGCCGAAATTTTAAAAGGAGGGCATGACTGAGGCCTCAGGCTGGGTGGGCAGTGGGCGATGGAAAGTAGTGGGAGAGACTTTAACTAAGTGTGGCCAGTCGGAGATGTGCCCAACTGCTGTTGGCTTTGCAGAAACTATAAATATTTGGTGGTGGGGAAAGGACAAGTTTAGGAAGAACAATGCATTTGTAATGCAACTCAGTTACACACACACACACACACACAATATATGTTTTAAAGTAGTTCATGCTAAAAGCAAAAGTGTTTTCTTTGACAAGATCAACAAAGTTGACAAACCTCTATGTACACTAAGAAAAAAGAAAAGACATAAGTAACTCAGATAAAAGGGAGGATATTACTACTGACTTTCACAGAAACAAAAAAGATAAGAGAATACTATGAACAATGTCTATCAACAAGTTAAATAACACAGACGAAATGGCAAATTCCTAGAAACACATAAATTACCAAAAACTGACTCAAAAAGAAATTTAAAAATCTAAAAAAATATCTGTAAAAATGGAAGAGATTGAACCAGAAATTAAGAACGTCCCAACAGAAAACCATCTAGGACCAGGTGGCTTCACTGGTGAGTTCTACCAAACATTTAAAGAAAAAACAAAACAAAACATCAGTCCTTCTCAA